GGCCTCGGCTCTGTCTGCCTGGTTTGGTTTGGTGCTAGTGAGCATCGGGGGCAGTGGTGGGGGGGCTGGGTCTGTCTTGCTAGTAGGGAGTGAAGCGGCTGTACCCTCCTCGGTATAGACTAGCCTGCAACATCAAAGATGAAAAAAAAGCCAATCAGTATTTGGAGAGAGGCAAAGCCCAGATCTTCCCTTTTTTCTTCTTTTTTTTCCTCTTTCAACTGATAACAAATTCCTGCTGTTCTTGGGACATGAGGATTGGGCAAGGCCAGGGTGCCCAGTGCTGCCCAGGCTCTGTGGCGGCCATGGGTACTGCCCTGGGGCCAGAGGGTGCCATGTGCCCCAGCCATGGCACCGCCATGATGTGCCCACCAAGGAGCCTGTCCCTGCTGTGCCACGGGGTTGGAAACCCCCAGGATGGAGTGCCCACGCCCCCTCACTAGTGGCTGCCTGGGGCTGGGGGTGCCAAAGGAGTAAAAAAAGGCAGAGAAAGGTGGGTTGGCTTTGAGGTCCTACCCATGAGTGGAGATTTTTCATCTTTGATGCTGTCAGAGCTAGCCAAGAGCTGCAGTGCATAGGGGGCTGCAGTGCTCCCTGAGTGTGGCTCTACGTGGGGGCCTGGGGACAATGCCCTGCACTGGAATGAGAGAAGGGGTCCCAGACCCCAGGCAGGGCCCTGGGACACTGAGCAGGCAGCTGGCGTGGGGTGTAGCCAAGCCCCCGGGAAGCAGAGTGCATGGGCAGGACTACGCAGGGTGTGAGGGGTACATGGAACAGAGGTGCAGGGCGGGGGGTCTTCTCTCCTGCAGACAGAGCCAGGCAGGGGCTGCGCTGTCCCCGCTCCCCTCCCACAGTCCCCGTGTGCGGGGGTGCCCCATGCCCTGCAGGCTGGCCGGCTGCCGTGCTGGCCCCCTCCCCGGGCTGGCTGCAGCCCCCCGGAAGCAGAGGAAGGCCGAGGGGCTGCTCTTACCATGGTGCCGATGCTGTACGTGGCGGCGGGGCCGATGGTGTGGTGGTAGGGGTCTGCTGCTGCGTACACTCTGCCGTAACTAGGAGCAAACACAGTGGTGGGTGTTAGTGACAAGAGTGGGGGTTCTGTCTCCCCTTGGAGCCCTCCTGCCCAGCTGTGCCTGGGAGCCCCCCGGAATCTCCCTCCAGTGGTGCCAGCCCTTTCCAGTCCCAGCTCTGAGGGAAGCAGAGGGGTCCCAGTTTGCAGGACACCTTCCCCATGCCTGACCCTGCCCATCCTGCAGTGCACAAGAGCTGGGGGTGTCAGAGACGGCAGTGCAGGGGGTGACACGGGGCTCCCCCCAGCGCGGTGCCCGCGGTGCTTACCTGTCACTGTACGCTGCCGCTGCTGCCGCAGGCTGGGCGTACCTGTAGGCAGCATAGCCCCCCTGCAGGGAGGAGAGACTGGTCAGGGGGCAGCACCCACGGCGGGGGGGACCGGGGTGAGGGCAGTTGAGTGCCCCATGGCACTGCACATTACAGTGGTGAGGCCTGTGGGGAGCCAGTGCTGGTGCCACTGGGCACGCAGCAGCCTCATTACCATTCCCCAAGGGCTTTCACAAACATTAACCTTAAAAAATTAAATTTCCAGAGGAGAGAATGTCACCTCCCCACTTGCTTTAATGAGGTGCCACGTTAGATAAATCCTTCAGCGCCCGCCTGAAATATCGCCGCTGGCTCCTCAGACACAGAGGTTAAACGTGGGTGTAAGGCACTGAGACCGTAAATCCCACGTGGTGCTGGCCCCGCAAGGGGGCTGGTGGGCACAAGACAGGGCACAGGACCCCATGCAGTGCCACCCAGATCGCTCCAGAGGAGCCACATTCTGTTCATGCTCTGCCTCCCAGGAAAAGGGGGTGGCAGGGGCAGAGCCCACCATGGAGATGCCCAGTGCTGCCTGCTCCCTGCCCTGGCATGGGGTCCCCGTCACGGCCCAGCTCTGGGCACAGTGTCACTTACATAGATCTCAGCTCCGTAGAACCCGTCCTGGTAGACGACCCTGGAAATGAGGTGGAGGCGTCAGAGCCCGGCCAGTGTCCCCAGACGAGGGGAGCAGCAGAATGAGGGTGGTGAACGAGGGGAGCTGCCTCAACAGCGCAGCTGAGGGGTGAGGAGTGGTTGTGCAGGCCCTCGAGGGCATGTCCAGGCTGGCACTCTGGGCAGGGACCTAGGGACAGGTGGACAGCATGGCCCAGGGCCAGGGGTGCTACAGGGATGGAGGAGTCTGGAGCATGATAGCTGCTGGAGCAGCTGAGCAGCTGCAGATGGCCATGGCCATGTCCGTGCCCAATGCCAGCACAGCCGCATGTGTCAGGAGAGAGTCTCCATTAAACCAACCATCCTGGCTGGAATAACATCCTGTGCCTTGGGGCACAGGAGGCTGGTGAGTGCATGGGTCACCCTGAGGGCAGCAGCCTAGGGGTTGCAGAGAGTCCATGGCCAAGCAAGTGCTGTGGGAGCTGCAGCCCATTCCTGATGTGTCAGAGCCTGGTGAGGCTGCTGCAGACCCGGAGCAGTGCCAGCACACGCCCCCCGCCCCAGCAGGGCCCCGCCGTGGCCGTGGATACTCACGCGCCGTAGGTGGGGATGGGCGGCGGTGGCGGCGCAGCTCGGAAGGTGTTGTAGACGGCGCGTCCCCGTCCCCGTAGGTGTGCCCCTCGGTAGGCCACGGCTGTCCCCGTGGTGGGGTATGGGAATCCCGTTACTGTGGGAGGAGGGGACACACATGGGCTTGCTGTGCTGAGCAGTGGCAAGGTCAGACAGAATGCAGAGCTGATGTTTGGGGGGCACCTGTGGCAGGGACAGCTGCAACTCAGTTATTACCTGCGTAGAATTCGGGGCCATAGACTGCTCCCACCACTGGGTTCAGCTTCCAGCCTGTGGGCAGAGAGAGCCAGTGAGGACAGAGCACTGCTCCCGTGGCACTCTGAGGGGCCACAGCCCCATCCCCAGGCAGGAGGAGGGCATGGAGGGGTTGTACTCCTGCACTGGACAGGGGTGGCTGCTCTCCACAGTCAGAGCTCCACGGCAGCCAGGCAGTGAGTGTGCCCAGGGGATGCCCCTGCCCACTGCAGTCCCTGCTCTCTGGACACTGGCCCTTACCGTTGGTGTAAGGGTTGGCCACCTTCTTGTTGGTCATGACGCGGGCTGTGGCATTGTTCACCTGCAGAGAGAGGGACGGGGGCTCAGTGCCTGCGGGCCGTGGGGCTGGCGAGGCCGTGGTCCAGAGGGCCCGCTCGCTGTGCTCGGCCCATCTCGCTGCTGCGGGTGCGGAGCGAAGGACGCCGGCTGCGGCGGAGCTGTCACGAGGCAAGTCTCTGCCCGCAGCCGCCCCACCACACGCAGACCTGCTCGTACCCCCAGCCAGGCCAGGCCTCCTGGCTGCAGCAACGAGCGTGGGTCAGGCTGGTGGCTGATGCCCCGAGTGCTGCGGTGCCATGCTCAGGCCTGGCTTTGTTGGACCATGTTTTCCCCATCCATGGGGCGCTGCTGTGCCCTGCCAGGCTCCTTCCCTGCCCTCAGCACTGCTGGGACATTTTGTCCCATTCCCTCTGCCATGTGCCATTCTGCTTCCCACTGCTTGCCGGCCACCAGTGAGGAGCTGCCGATGAATGGGCAGAGCCTGATGCCTGTGCCAGGCTTGGAGAAATCAAAGCCTCCAGGGACAGGTAACCTCTGGCACTGAGGGTGCAGAGCCCTGAGTGGATCCTCCCTTCCGGCACAGGACAGGTGGGAACGGCACATGGGGCAGAGCCCTAAAGCTCCCTGCAGAGTGTGGGGCAGCTACGCAGCAGGCACAGGGCTGCAGGGGGGTTCTCTGCCAGACCCATCTGTACCAGGCAGAACAAAGCCCCAGCTGAAATCCCGGCTCTCCCCGCACATGGGAGGTTCCTTTGGGCCGCTCCTTGTGCCAAGCGATGAACTTCCTGGCAGCCGGCACACATGCTCCTGTGCCACATTCAGGGACACATGCAAAGGCTGGGGACAGCTCCCCGGGGGCACCCAGGACCCAGAGCTGCCCTCAAGCATCCCGCAGCCCGGGCAGGGGACACGCACACGCAGGCATGGCACGGCACTAGCACACTTATCTGAGCACCTCAATCTTCCGGCCCTCTACGATGGTGCCATTCAGCTTCTCTCGTGCCCGGTCGGCATCTGTGCTAGTTTCAAAAGTTACAAACCCAAAACCCTGTGAGCAGAGGAGAAAAGGAGAAAGAAAGAGACAGAGAGAGAGAGACAGAGAGAGGGTGCGGGGACAGAGAGAGAGAGGGGGTGAATCAGGAGAGCTGGCGCAGAGGTGAGGCTGCCACAGTGCAGAGATGGAGAGCCCGGGCTGGGGTCCCCGCAGGGGCTGGGGGTCCCGGCTGAGGCCTCAGCATCGCCCACAAGCTGGGAGAAGAGTCTGGGAGAGGGGCACAGAAAACGGGGAAGATACAACAGAGACATCCAGACACAGAGGGACATGAGCTGCCTGTGGGGGGGCAGAGCAAGCCCTTCCTTCCCTCCAGTGCCAGGGCCACCCCAGTTGGTGCAGGAGCTACCCCGAGATGGGGCATCCCACGCCAAGATCCCATGGGGCAGGAGAGGAGAGCAGGTTACAGTGCTGCCAGGCAACCCGGCTCCGCTGACCCCCTCCCCAGGACTCGCCATACGGTGCCAGCTGTGGGCAGCACCCACCTTGGAGCCCCGCTCATTGAAAATGATCTCCACATCCAGTATCTTCCCGAATTGCTGCAAGTGGAGAGAGCAGAAGGGTGAGTGCCCGTAGAGCCCCCAGCCCCACACCCGGGGCTGCTGGCATGGGGCTCTGTGCCAGGGATGGGCCAGGGGCTGCCTTGGGGGCCAGGCCCAGGGACTCTCAGGGCCATGCAGGGGAGAGCCCTCATCCCTCCCATGGCTCCCACTCTGCCAGGACTTTGGGAGTGTCACCCAAAATCTCATTAGCCAGCACTGCTCTGAGTCCTAATGAGGGCTAGGAAGGGGATAGTGAGGGGAGACAAGGGCTCTGTGACACTCCATGCACAGGATGGGCCCTTGGAAGGGGACAGTGTCAGTGTCCCGATGGTGACACAGGGCAGCATCGAGCAGGGAGCAGGTGACATGGTGGCTGGATGGGGCTGGACTCACCCCAAACATTTGTCGCAGGTCAGGGTCCCGGAATCGGAAGGGGATGTTGGAGACGTGTAACCTCTTAGGCTGCTGCTTGTCTGTGTTGTCTGAGGAATGTAGCTGCTGGCTGTCTGTCTGTGCCGCCTCGTCTGTCTGCTGTGGGAGGCACCACCACCATCAGCCCCTGGCCGTGCCAGACTCATGTCCCTGCTGGGGCTCCAGTCTTGGGGAATGTCCCCCTGCCCTGTGCTTGGCCCTGCCTGCCCCCAGGGACACCCTGAAACCAGCGGTCCCCAAGCCTCAGGCAGCACCCCATGGGTGTCCCTGCATCCTGGTGAGCCAGGGGGATGATGGCAGGGCTGTGGGGGTGCTTGAGGCAGGGGTGCAGACACTGCCTGTGGGGCCATGTGGAAGCACTGGGAAATGCTGAGCTCAGCGCTTTCCCAGTGCTGAGTTCCAGCCCTGTAATTGCCATGATCCGGTGGACCAGAGCCAAGCAGGTGGACTACAAGTGATTAGAATTGAGGGGGGGTGCTGCGAGGAGAGGCGATGGTGGGAGCACCCAGCCCAGTGCCCCGTGGGACTGCAGCCAGGCAGCACCACTGCCCCAGCACCCTCCCGGATGCTCCGGCAATGCCCTGGGCCCCCCGTGCCCCCTGACCCGCTGCCTTACCGGTACCGTCTGTGTCCCTGCTATGGACTGTGTGCTGGCGTCGGT